CCTACCGTTGACTTTAAACAATTGCTTGATAGATTCGAGCTTGTTGAAAAAGAATTAAGAAAATTGGTTTATGAAATTTCTTTTCCTAACAATATAAATAAACTTGAAAATTTTATATTGTCTAAACTTATTAATCCGGAAACAACAAATGAACAAATTATTGAATTGAGAAAATTTTATCATGAAATTCGAAACATTCACGAATTTCAAAATTATCAAGAACATTTTAAAAATACTGAAAATAAATCTGTGCCTGGTTTTTCATTGACTGAAAAATCTTCAACTCTACCAGATTGTAACAAATGTGATGATGATGTGCCTAATTTTTCATCGATTGAAAAATCTTTAACTCTATCCAATTGTAACAATAATCAACAAGAAAAGCAATCTAAAGTAAATAATCCTGTAAATAAAACATCTCGTGAGAAAAAAAGGAAGCCGAATGCTAAAAGCTCATCATCAAATAATCGAAGAAGAAATGTCAAGAACAACCTTCCTGGAATAATCAAAATTTATCCTAAAACAATAAAAGGCTGTTACGAGATGGATAAATTTGATTCTAATGATAATACTTGGTACAATTCCACTTCTTCTTCTGTTATTCATTGTAAGGTAACAAAAACAAATAATAATAATAATAATAGTCCAAATTTACATGCCAATACATCTACTATCGAAAGTTATTGTCCTCAAGCTTTATTCAATATTGACTTTCCTTTGAAAGATAATATTTTACTTGACACACAACAACAACATTTCTATTCAAATGACTCTACAACATTCGGTTTTAATCATTATGAGAACTCATTTTTATATTATCCCATGTAAAAAAATTTCAACAATCATAGTTTAAATTTAATAGAACTTAAAAATAAGTTCTAATTTTCTTTATTTCAAATATTATGATTAATAGTTTTTAATTCATTTTCATTTATATATATAATTATTATTATAAAATTAATTTCTTTCTTGAAAATATTTTTCTTCAATCGTGTAAATCATATTTTAATTTGCAAATTTATTTTAAATATTTTAAATAAAAATTTATTTAATTATTAGTTATGATAATTAGTTTCACAAATTTATTACAAATATTAATAATAATTTCTCGTAGCACTTTATAATAAGGAATTATTATTCTCAAAGACTATGTGAATGATTTATTGACACAATTTTATTATCAATATGAAAATTACATTTGCATAAAAGAATTCTGATGCAAAGTATACATATTTTATTGAACAAAAAACCATTTAATCTATTTCAATGACATTTAAATTAATACTTTTAAAAAACAGAAAAATTTTTAAAATTCATTCCAATTTGAATTATACGTAGAATTCATGAACTAATTGTAGATGTTTTAAATAGACACATAAAAAATAAAACCAATTATTATTAAATAACCTTTGAAAATTATTCGAGCATCGTTTACTGGTATGTCAATTAATAGTATCAAGTTTAACTTATAACATTAGATAAATAATACTCTGAAATTATCTCGAAACGACGGTTTTTGATGTAGTTAATCAAAATTTTGTTAACATTAATATCGATATATTATAAAAATATTAATAACATTTTTTTCAAATTTATTCTTATCAAATTTTATTAAAATAGAGATAGGTATAATCCACCGTAATTCTTGGAAAATAGCACTCTAATCTCAGACTTAATAATAATAATATAATTTATTATAAAGAAATCCTAAATTTATTTAAAAATTCTAAATTACATCTTAATGCAGAAATAGTCACGTTAACAATCAGGAAGGGGTTTTATCATGCAAAAGCTAGAATTGAAACTATATAGTAGATGAAAAATTGCAAGTCTGAACCAAACCTTAAAAGATATACTTCTAGGATCAAGTATCGCAGAAAGGATTAGCAAAAGAAGACTATATATTCGAGGCTTAACAAATATTGGACTATTAGCTAAGATTAAAGAAGTACTCGAATCAGGATCAAAAGCAAGCAAAACGATCTGCTGGTTCATAGAGATCTTTTGGCTAAACTTTTTTGAAAGAATTTGAAAGTTTCGATGTGAAGTCATGACAGACTGGGAAAGAAGAAACGGTATAAACCAGAAAGAAAAGCGAAAGAAATCAAGGCGGAAATTCAAAGTCAGACAGAGTGAAATTTCAGAAGATAAAGAAAACCAAGCGATAAAGGGAAAGGAGATGAAAGAATCAAGGAAAGACAAAGAGAGAAAAGTTCAAAAAATAGCAGACGTTAAAGTAAAAAAGTGGATAGAAAGAGGATTAAAGGAGAGTTGGTTAAGCATTAAAAATAACTAGGTATTCTTGATATAGGCGCATAGTAACCTTCTGAAGATCAAAAGGATACGTACTTGCTTTGGCAAATGATCATTTAGAAGGAGAAATTACTATTGCGGCAGATCGCACTTGGGCACCTCTAGGCAGCCGAGTGAGTCCGGAATTAAATGAACAGGGCAGTTATGTAGCTAAAGTAGTTTAGTCTATATTCTTATTAAAATATAATGTATACAGTATTTTCTCTTAATAAATGAAGGGCAAGATCGCCTAAGTTTAAAAAAAAATCAGGCAGGCAGGGGGTGTGATCTACGACCAATAGGAAATCTGATCGATCATAATTTAATCAAAAAAAAAAGTCTACTGTAAACAGTAAAACTTTATCAAAATGTTACGAAAAATTATTACATTCTCGTATATTTTTAAGCATAATTCATGTCAATATAAATTAACAAATATAAAATCTTTTACACAAACATTCCAAATTAACAGATTTTATAATACTAACCAACAAGAAAGTAATAATAATGAAAATAATAATAATGATACCGATATTACGATGGATAGATTTATTGAAAGTAGAAAAAGATTAAATTTAAGTTGGAATGAAAAAGAAGTTAAAAAATTATTAGAAGCAGTTATTAAATATGGAACAAATTGGAAAATTATATGGGAAGAATATTTTAAACCAAATAGAAATCCTAATAGTTTAAGAGGAAAATGGGAAAGATTATATTATGCTAAACAAAGACCTTCATATCATAATCCTTGGACTTCTGAAGAAAATAAATTATTAATTGATGGTGTAAATAAATTTGGTGTTGGTAAATGGGCTCAAATTTCTAAATTATTTCCTCAACGAGATAGACATCAAATTAAAAATCATTGGATTGATATTTTTTATGGTAATCGTGGTAAATGGACTACTGAAGAAGATAATTTACTTTTTAAATTAGTTGATAAATATGGTCTTAAATGGACTTTGATTGGAAAACATTTAAATCGTGCTAGAAATGATATTTATAGTCGTTATTTTATTATCATAAGAAAAAAATGGACAACTGATGAAAATTTATCTCTTAGAAATCTGATTGCAAAATATGGTGAAAATTGGAAAATTATTTCCGATCATTTTCCTAATAGAAGTGTTTATGATATTAAGATGCATTATAAACAATGTTCAAGTATTAATCCTAACGTTAATAAAGGAAGATGGAAACCTGAAGAAATTAAAGCTTTTGATGAAGCATTTCATAAATTTGGGAAAAAATGGAGACATATTGCTGAATTCGTTCGAACTAGAACTCCAAGTCAGTGTTGCTCTTATCATCAAACTCATTTTTCAAGAAAATTAATTCGGTAATATCTTAAATAATTCATTCGATGTAAAAAGGGTATTTTTTATTATAAAATATTTTAAATACTATTAAAAACAATATATGTATCTTCGCTTACAACTTTATTTGCAAAATTTTTTTTATTTCCTTGATGCAATTTCATACCTAATTATATTATTTTAAATTTTTTTTTTTTTTACAATTTTTATAAATATATTAAATATTAACTCGTACAAAAAAAACTTTAAACGTCTAAAATTAGAAGTTGAAACTTTAGTTCGTTTAATTAACGTTTCAAACTAATTTCAAAAAAAAAAAAAAAATTAGTTTTTTAAGTTCAAAGTTGAATTATAAATTATCGGTTTGATTTATCAAGAATTAAACCGGATCAAAGTAATTACGTTATTGGGTTTTCATGAAAAA